AAAAAAAAAAAAAAAACATATCCCAGAATCCTTTGCGGGCCTGTTCACCTCCTCAAAGTTTTTGCATCCGGGTCCTTTCTTCCTTTTCCGCTGTGCCCAGATGCGATGAGGAGCTAGGTTTGCCCGGACCTGACAAAATCCAAATCCATCTTCGATAAAGGCACCACCGAACCTCGCCAAAATGACCGAGCAGATGACAGTGAGGGGGACCCTAAAGGGGCACAGTGGATGGGTCACCCAGATCGCCACTACGCCTCAGTACCCCGACATGATTCTGTCGGCTTCCCGAGGTGAGGCTTCCCCCCGCCGCCGGCTCCGCCAACATGGCTACAGGGTTAGCATTGGTCAGTTAGCGACTCGATTGCGACGATTTTAGTGAAAATACCGAGTCTGGCAGGAGTGACACGGTCCAACTGGACAGTGAAAACAGACAAATGAAGCTTTAGTCGGCGGTAAACGCTCAGAATTTGCTACTCAACAATGTAGCTTGGCTAAATTGTGCTAGCTCGAGTCATCAGTAACTGAAAGTCACTGAGGTTTTTAACGCCTTGTTTACGTAAACCGTTATCTACAAACATTAATGATACTCTAGTAAATATGCAAAGCTGACACAACAAGACTTGTTTATTAAGGTAATTGAAATTAAATTGTTTAGTTTCAAAGCTAATGTTCCATGCTAACGTGTCGTTCATGGATGAGCTAAAGTAATGGCCCAATCAAGAAATCTGATGTTTTTTTGTTTATGTACTTTTCAGACAAGTCCATCATCATGTGGAAACTGACCCGTGATGAGACCAACTATGGCATCCCCCAGCGCTCCCTGAGGGGCCACTCTCACTTTGTAAGTGATGTTGTCATCTCCTCAGACGGACAGTTTGCTCTGTCGGGCTCCTGGGACGGGTCCCTGCGTCTGTGGGACCTCACCACGTAAGTACGACAATTATACCAGGGGTGTGCGGTCCTAGTCCTTGAGGGGCCACTATCCTGCATGGTTTAGAAGTGTCTCTGCTTCAACACACCACCAATGCAGAAAGAAGAGGCAATTCAACCATTGAATTAGGTGTGTTGGAGCAGGAAACTAAGTGAAACACTCAGGATAGTGGCCTTCATGGACCAGGATCTGACACCCCTGCAATACACGGTCAGCTTGTGT